CGCAAAGCCTCCGAGGAGCCCACGCTGAAGCACGAAGCCACCAGCGAGGAGGTCCTCTCCCCGCCCTCGGACTCGGGGGGCCCGGACGGCTCTGTCACCTCGTCCGAGGGCTCCAGCGGGAAGAGCAAGAAGAGGTCGTCGCTGTTCTCCCCCCGCAGAAGCAAGAAGGAGAAGAAGCCCAAAGGCGAGGGCCGGCCTCTGGAGAAGCCCAGCCCCGGCGCCCCGGAGGAGGCAGCGGCCAAGCCCAAGTCCTTGTGGAAGTCGGTCTTCTCCGGGTACAAGAAGGACAAGAAGAAGAAAGCCGACGACAAGTCCTGCCCCAGCACCCCCTCCAGCGGAGCCACAGTGGACTCTGGCAAGCACCGGGTGCCTCCCATCATGAGAGCAGGTGCGTGGGTACCCGAGGGGCCCCGCGGGCAGGGTGGGAGGCGTGCATTCTCATGGGATCCACTGTCACACGCTGCCCCCACCAGGTTCTTAGGAGGGTACTGGTGGGGAGAAGGGAACCGAACCATGGGGTCACAGGGTAACGAAATTCTAAGAGTCAGCTTGAAACTGGGCAAGGGGAGGCCGGGCACCCTGGCTCAAGCCGGTAATCCTGGCACTTTGGGAGGCCAAGGTGGGAGCATCGCTTGAGCCCAGGAGTTCGAGAACAGCCTAGGCAACACAGTGAAACCTCATCTCTACACAAAAGTCAAAAACTTTGCTGGGTGTGGTGGCGTGCGCCTGTAAGTCCCCAGCAAGTAGGGAGGCTGAGACGGAAGGATCACCTGAGCCCAGGAGCTTGACGCTGCCGTGAGCCATGATTGTGCCACTACACTTCAACCTGGGCAACAGAGTGAGACCCTGACTCAAAAAAAAGAAAGAAAGAAACTGGGTAAGGGAGACTTTGGAGGTTTTGGCCTTCCTCAAGTCACATGACCCCAGACAGGGCCTGGCCGAGGAGGGGCAGGCTGGGCTGGCCATCCAGGTGCCGTGTGCTCAGTGCCCGGACAGGCCTCAGTGTCCCAGCACCTCTCTCCCCAGTATGGGAAACGGATCACCGAAGCTAAAGAGAAATCAGCCCTGTCCCCAGCTGCCCGCATGGACGGGGGTGCCAGGGACACTGCACGCTGGCCACCCGGCTGGCTGGCCGCAGCCTCACTCGGCCTCTCCTGTCCCGCAGAGCTGCAGCTCCGACACCAGCTGAGCTTCTCGGAGGACTCGGACCTGTCCAGCGACGACGTCCTCGAGCGGTCCTCACAGAAGTCCAGGCGAGAGGTACGTAGCCGGCAGCAGGGGCTCCGGCAGGGCCCAGGCTCGCCTGTGTACTGTTGGCCTTCGATGGCGGGGGGGGGGGGCAAAGCTAAAGCCAAGGAGGAAGGCAAGCGGCCTTCTCAGGCCTCCCAGTGGACACAGCGCAGAAGGCACAGGAAGGGGGTCACTGGCGGACTTCTAAGTGAGTTGCCGGGGTTGTTGGCGTCCATGGCAAGAGTTCCCGTGTCCTGTTCTTGTGAAATAGAAAAGAACAGAGGCATTTCCCGCTTCAACTTCAGGCAGCTGCCCAGCACTGTCCGTTTGTTATTTTCGTCCTCGGAAATCCCACACAGAGCAGCAACCGCCAGTCCTCAGGGGCCACCGTGCTGCAGGACTGTGGGTCGGGTGTGGTGACAGGATACGACTCGGACAGAGGACCGAGTCAGGCACTGAAGGGTGTCCCTGGCCATCCAGCCTGCCCGGTGGCTCTATTAATCATGGAGGGTTTTTTTGCTCTGAGGAACTGGGGCCAGGCACAGTGGTGGCTCATACCCATCGTGCCAGCACTTTGGGAGACCGAAGCAAGAGGATTGCTTGAGTCCAGGAGTTCGAGGCCAGCCTAGGCAATATAGCGAGACCTCAGCTCTGCAGAAAAATCAAAATATTAGCTGGGCGTGGTGATACGCACCTGTAGTCCCAGCTGCTCAGGAGGCCGAGGCAGGAGGATCGTCTGAGCCCAGCAGGTCAAGGCTGTGGTGAGCCATGATTGTGCCATTGCACTCCAGCCTGGGCAATAGTGAGACTCCTACTCAAAACAAATAATAATAAGCAGGAATCGACCTGCAGGTTTTCTAGACACAGGTCTGACTCGGCCCTTCTCCCTCTCTAGGGCGTAAGAGAAGATGGGGCCCCTTGGCCTCCTGAGGAGAAAATGGCAGTGTGGGCGCTTCTTCAGTGCAAGCCTCTCTCGGGTGTTCGCTCAGTCTTTTGATTCTCAGGGGCTTGTGGCGCTTTGTCCAGATCCAGTGAGGCTGGAGGAGGGAGAGGAATTAGAGCAAGTTCTGGTGGCACCAGTGTCACAGAGACAGTGACAGGATGGGGACTAAAACCGAAAAGGCCTTCGGCAACGTGGCAGGGCAGGTGATGCTCTGTGTGAGCCGTTCACCCCCCCACCCCCCACCGTCCAGCCCTGGGGCCTGTGCTCTCCTCCTGGCCAGGCAGTGGCCCAGCTGCCTTCCGCCTCCCTCTTGGAATGAAAATGTCCCAGAACATCACGTCCCTTCTAGACCAGGCTTGTTGGGGTTGGACTCGAGTCCGCCCTCCCCTTTGATCTCCAGGGAGCTTTGGGTCATTGCCCAGTAGACCAGCTGGGGAGGACCGTGCTGGGTCTGAGCCCTTCCCCTGCCTGTTCCATGGAGATGGCTTCTGCAGCCTGTTTCCAGCTCCCTCCCCAGCCTGGCCCTGGTCCTCTTATGTAGGGCCCACTGGGAGGGCACCAGCGGTGTTATTTTCCACCTCTCTCTATGCATCATCGCCTTGGCCACGCCAGCTCCTGGCCTGTCCACTCTCCCAGAAGGCCCTAGAAAGCCAGGCGTCTCCCCTCCACCTCTGCAGATGTGCCGCGCTGGGCTTCCACGTGCCACAGCCAGGCCAGTGTTAGGTGAAGGTTAGAAGGCTGTGCCTCTCCCTCAGGGAGTCAGTTGAATGTGACTCTTGTCAAGGGCTCCCTGCCAAGCTGAGCTGAGAATTGCGCCTGGATTTCTGTGTGGGTCCCTAAACACACCCCAAACCTGGGACCAGGTGCTGCCTTAGTGGGGGTCCTGACGGGGTCTGCGAGGAACGGAGAATAACGTCCCAGGTCTGCTTTTCCTCCATGTGGCCATGCAGTGTTCAGCCAATTGGTGTCAAGTTGGTCAGAAGCCTCTGCTGTGGTCTCTGGCGAGTCCACTGCTCCCTGCATGAAGCACCTGCTGGTCACACAGGGAGCCCCTCCACAGAGACCCCCATTACAGAACCCCAGAGCCAGAGAAGCCTCCAAGGCCTCACGCCCTAGGGGCGTTCATAGAGGTAGAGTCACTTGCCCAAGGCCACATAGGAAATGCCGAGGGCCACAGTCGAGCCTGGGAGGGTGACTGACCTGGGAGGTGACTGCCCTGGGGCTGACTTACCTAGAGGATAGCTGACCTGGGAGCAGCTGACTTGGGTGTGGCTGACCCGATTCCTGCCATGGTGTGGAGTTGGCCTGAGTGAGAGAAGTTAGCCTGTGTCTTTTCACAGGAAGACAAACCAAAAAAAAGGTAGCCTTCCAGCTACTTGGAAGCCTGAGGTAGAAGAATCGCCTAAGCCCACATATCGAGGCTGCAGTGGCTGTGAGCATGCCACAGCTTGGGTGGGCTACAGAGCAAGACTCCAACTCAAAAAAAAAAAAAAAAAAAAAAGATAGCCATCAAGGGCATTTTTGAAACAGTTATAGGAATTTGATCATGAACCATAATACATGTAATTATATAATAATCAAGTCAGTGTTGAGCTCCTTGAGAAAGGTACTGTAGCTATATGTAGGAAAATACATGCCAAATGGTTAGAGACAAAAGATCTCTATGTGCACACATGAGTCAGGAAAAGGTCATGTATGATGATTACGTGTATTTTCTGTATATATACCTGTTATATATTCCGGGGTTGCCAGAAAATGTATACACATTTTAAGAGATGCTATCGGCTGGGCTCGGTGGCTCAGCCTGTGATCCCAGCACTTTGGGAGGCCGAGGCGAGTGGATTGCCTGAGCCTGCGGGTTCGAGACCCGCCTGAGCAACTTGGCGAGACCTCGTCTCTACAATAAAATCAAAAACTAGTTGGGCGTGGTAGTGCACTCCTGTAGTTCCGGCTATTTGGAAGACTGAGGCAGAAGGATCGCAGGAGCCCAGCAGGTTGAGGCTGCGGGGGCCGGGAGCACTCCAGTCTGGGCGAGAGTGAGACTCCAACTCAAAAAAAAAAAAGAGAGAGATGCTGTCTATGTATTGCTTTTAGTTTGCTGTAATCAGAAGTGTCTGGATGCTGACGGTAACCACCTTGAGCACCTCACACTTCTTGTAATTGCAGAAGTCAAACGCGACTTGTATTCGTCTTTATCCATATATATTGAGTACTACCATTTTAATCCAACTTTTTACTCTTTTAAGATGTGTACACATGTTTTTGTCACCCTCTGTATACCTATGAAGAGTGTGGCAAAAGGTTAACATCTGGCAAATACAGGTAAAGGGCACACAGGTGAAGGGCATATGGGTGTTCATCGCCTGCCTCTTTCAGCTTTTCTGTCGGTTTGAAGCTTTGGGAATAAGAAGCGTGAGGCACAGGGGCCCTACGGTGAGGATGGCATCTGGCCTGAGATGGCATTTGGTCGGGGGGTCGCCTCGGGTGATGGGGCCTGCTGTGGCAGCACGGACAGGGGAGGTGGCTCCTTCAGCGTCATGGACCCCACGTCCGAGCCAGGCATCTGGGAAACAAGTGCCCAAGTTTGGTTTTGTGAGAAGTTTCTAAAACCACTCAAAGTGACTTCTGTTTTGATTTAAGCGTTTATTACAGAGCAATATTCAGATAATACAGATGTTTTAAAACTCACCTGTAGCCCTACCCACAAGCGAGAACTAGAATCTCTCTCTTTTCTTTGTTTCCCTCTGACTTTAAAATACGATTCGCGTGTCTCCCTCTCGAGCTCTGTGGCCATCACGGGGTGGCGTTGGCCTCGACAGCACCCCATCTGTCTCACAGCAGGTCAGCTCCTGTAGCTGGCCACTTCCCGTCAGACACACCAGAGATGTGTCGTGATTCCACCCCTCTGGTTACCGCCTCTGCCACGTTGGCGCCAGCCCCAGAAATGGGTCAGTTACAGAAAAGGCGGCCACAGCTCTCCCCTTGAATTCTGGCATCAGCCACGGGTGAAGATTCCAATGCTGTTCCTTGAGAAGCAGTTACATAGTTCCTGTGGGGTCTTCGCATGGCACTTGGGAAAACCGTCTGTCTCTGCTTCTTAACTGGCTTGTTCTAATAATGCCAGTTCTCCGATCATTGGGCCTTGTGGGAGAGACATATCTGTCTGAGGCAGAACATACGTGGTCAGAGTCAAAGGCAAGTCTGTCCTTCTCCAGGCCGGTGTGCTCGTGGAGTGTAGGTCCCACGAAGGCGAATGGGGTGGCTACTGTCCTGGAACTCTCCTCTGCGGGCCACTGCCCGCCCTCGCTCCCTGACTGCCTTTTAGACCGTCTGTGGCAGATGAGGAGACAGCAAAGCAAATGTCTCTTGCCCCGGCTCTCGACAGCTCTGCTCAGGGTTTCGTGGCATGAGAAGAGGTTCATGTTACTGCGTGTGATACTTCCGGGGTTAGTGTTTTAAGTTCAGTTTCCTTTCACTGTGTACTGTCAAGAGGCAGCCCCAGTCCCATCCTGAGGCTGCCAGGTGGCACACAGAAACACTGCCAGGAGAGAACCTTTCGGGAGAGAGGGTTGGCTCCATGCTCAGTTTCATTCTGTGTCTGTGTCTGTGTCTGTCTCTGACGACAGGAATCCCCCACTTCCTACCCCTCTCCCATCGTATTACCCTAAAAGAAAGAAGTGGTCTGAATTTCCAGAAGTGGCCAGGCGCAGTGGCTCACACTTATAATCCCAGCACTTAGGGAGGGCAAGGTGGGAGGATCACTTGAGCCCAGGCGTTCGAGAACAGCCTGGACAACATAACGAGAATCCATCTCTCAAAAAACTTAATTAAAAATATAAAGGTGAATTTCCACAAGCAAGTGGGTCACTCAAGGAGAAATAGCATCTGTCATCATATATATAATCAGTTTTGACTTATATACAAAGAGACAGGAGGAAATTCGGGAGGGTGGTTAGAAGAAGCTTCTCCATGAGCAGAAAAAAGTTAGAAGAAGTTAGAAGAGAAAAGTTAGAAGAAGCTTCTCCATGAGCAGAAAAGTGAACCCTGGCCTCATTCAAAACCAGAGTCCACTCAGGCGCTGCTGCTAGGATCTTCACACCCAGGCTTCTGCGCAGGCCTGTGTGACATTGTGAAAAAATAATCATGTGTTTTAAGTCTTGTGTGTTTGTTTTAAACTTCTAACTGATTTTGCTTCATTTCTGTGTTCTGTTTTTAGTTTTTTAATCATTATTATTATTACTATTCTGTTTTGTTTTCTGTTGCCATCCCCTTAAAAGTCAGTTAATGTACCACACGCCTTGGCATTCAGGAGATCATATGCATCAAAGGTAGTGTTTCATTCCCATCAGCTGGTCACTGTTGCATGCCTGTCTGTGATTAACCACCGAGCGTCCAGCCCTGGTCCCCCAGCCACGTCCTCACTAACTGTGTCCATACATGCATGGGGCTGTGGCAGACACTGGCAGCAGGGCTATCTTTAGCTGTGCCATGAGCCGGAAGGAGGATGAGACATCTGCTCTTCGCTGGCTGGAGTGCATGTGGTCATTTTGCTCCAGGTGCCTGGGTGGGGAACTGGGCACCCCAGAGAGGGGCAGTTCACCAGCCCTCTGCTCTGTGATTGTCAGGGAGCAGCGCTCAGGGCGCTGAAACTCGCTGAGGCTCCTTGCCGACTGCCCACTCAGGTGACCCTCTGTCGTTTGAGCTCGTAAAGATTATGCATATAGACCGCCCCAATTCGAATCTGTCTCCTTTGAAGTCTATAAAAGTCTCCTTGCTTAGTTTTCTTAGAGGCAATTAAGAGGTTCTGATAAATAAAAGCAAGCCCCAAGCTTTGACTCTCTGGTTGCCGATATTTGCTGAAAACACCTGACTCCCCCCTGAGCCCCCAGCGCCCATGTGGGCCAGAGCCTCCAGCAGTCCTGTCCGTGGATTGCACTGGCCTGTGTGTTGCCTCCTCAGTTCTTGATGGCACCGGGCATGGCAACCCGTCCTCCCTTCTTCCCCGTGGCCGGCGGTTGCCTCTGCGGGCCTCAGAGTTAGTCCAGGTTCCCCTGCACAGATCCTTCTACAGATGGTGGTTGTGTGAGCTCGCCCAGACCTAAAAGAGAAGCATCTCTGCCTTCTCTGCTTCTGGTGTGACTTCTTAAGAGGATCTGATGGATACGCTCATCTGAAGAAAGTGGCTTTGGATGCCAAATGAGAAAACAAAAGGGTCTTGATTTTTCTCTCGTTCCTTCCCCTAGATGCCCCCTAGAAGCAGGAGGCTTCTTAGGGACATACTTTACCAATATTTTTACCCCCTCAAAGTCTTTAAAAGAGCAGATATCCTTGTTTAAGAAACAGGGGCTCTCAGTGATAAAGGAGCGGATGTCCCTTGGTTTTAACTTCCCAACAGCCTGGCACCCCACTCAGTCTCCTGTCCCTGCACAGAGGGAGCGTCTGACCTTGTGGCTCTCAGGGGCACGCCATGGCATTGAGGGCTGCTGTGGGCTGGGGAGTCGACAGACCTTGTGCCCTGTGTCTGCCAGCACCCCGGTCCTGCCGGTGCTCTGCAGAGGGCGGCTTGTCTGCCAGGGTACCAACTATGACATAGCGGACAGCCCTCTCCACGCCCCTGCTGGCCTGCCACCCACACCTGCCCCAGGCCTGCATGTACCTGACTGAAGAAGTCTCTGTTGTTCTCTGCAGCCAAGAACCTACACCGAGGAGGAGCTGAACGCCAAGCTGACCCGGCGCGTGCAAAAGGCCGCTCGAAGACAGGCCAAGCAAGAGGAACTTAAGCGGTTGCATCGAGCCCAGGTAAAACCACAGAGAGACCCACACACAGGCAGGCCGGGTGGCAGACCCTCCTCTCCACCCAGCCGGTCCCATCCACGCAGTGGGCTGAGGAGGACAGAGCAGAGGTAGATGGGCGTCCCTGCCAGCTGAGATTATGGCCCCAGAACGCCTTTGGCTTGATGCGGCCACAGAGGTCCCCCTTGGTGGGGGACTGTTGGGAAAAGGGAGAGAGGCTTGTTCCGAGTTTCCCAAATTCCTGGTCTAGATTAATCATCGTCAAGTCAACTAGCTCAATAGTCAAGACTCAGTTAGTGCCCTCTCTGCCACTGGCGGGTCAGGATTTTGTGGTCATAGGTCAGAGCTCTCCTCCCAGTCTCTCACTCCTGTCTTGAGGCCACACAGATCCTAGACCATTCTAGATTTCTCTCTTTTTTTTTTTTGAGTCAGAGTCTCACTCTCGCCCAGGCTGGAGTGCAGTGGCATGCTCATGGCCACTGTAGCCTCAACCTGCTGGACTCAGCCGATTCTTCCACCTCCGCCTTCCAAGTAGCTGGAACCACAGACACACATTACCACACCCAGCTAATTTTTTTGTTTATTGTAGAGACTAGGTCTCACTAAGTTGTCTAGGCTGGTCTCAAAACCCTGGGCTCAGGCAAATCCTCTCACCTCTACCTCCAAAGTACTATGATTATAGGTGTGAGCTACCGCGCTCAGATTAGATTTATTTTCAAATTTTTTTTTTAACTTGGGCCTAGCACCATGGCTCATGGCTTTGGTAGACTGAGACGGGAGGATCTCTTGAGCCCAGGGTCTCAAGACTAGCCTGGGCAATATAGTGAGACCCTATCTCTATAAAAATAAATTAGCTGACCAGGCTTGGTGGCTCAGCCTATATAATCCCAGCACTTTGGGTGGCCGAGGTGAGTAGATTGCCTGAACTCGCAGGTTCGAGACCAGCCCGGGCAACTTGGCAAGACCTTGTCTCTACAATAAATAAAAAATTAGCCAGGTGTGGTAACCTGTAGTTCTAGCTACTTGGAAGGCTGAAGCAGAAGGATCGCCAGAGTCTAGCAGGTCGACGCTGGGGTGGCCCTGAGAGTGCCACTGCACTCCAGCCTGGGCGATGGAGTGAGACTCCAACTCAAAAAAAAAAAAAAAAAAAATTAGATTAGCCAGGCCAGACGCAGTAGCTCATGCCTATAATCCCAGCATTTTGGGAGGCCGAGGTGAAAAGATTGCCTGAGTCCACGGGTTCGAAATCAACCTGGGCAACTTAGCAAGACCTCATCTCTATAGTAAATCTAAAAGTTAGCTGGGCGTGGTGGCACGTGCCTATAGTTCCAGCTACCAGAAAGACTGAGATGGAAGGATAGCCTGAGCCCAGCAGTGGTGGCTGTGGTGGCTGCAGGTATGCCATTGCACGCTAGCCTGGGTGACAGAGTAAGACTCCGACTCAAAAAAATTTTTTTTAATTAAAAATAAATGAATTAGCCAAGCTAGGACTACAGGAGTGGTGGTGCACTCTTGTGGTCCTAGCTTCTTGGGAGGTCTAGGCAGGAAGATCACTGAGCCCAGGAATTCGAGGCTGCAGTGAGCTATGATTGCACCACTGCACTCCAGCCTGGACAACAGAGCAAGACCCTCACTCTATGGGGAAAAGAAAGTTTGTTTTTTGCTTTTTGTTTTATCTTGTAGAGATGAGATTTCCACTGTACCCCTCCAAGCACCCCTTCCGTCTCTTTGTCAGATGGTCTGAGGTCACCATGTTTTAAGTCCTTCCTGCGGGAGTGTGTGTCCACTTCCTGTCTTTGTACTGCTCCGGTGAGGGCTGCTCACCACCTTAGCTGTATCCACAGCCTCAGTGCCCACTCACAGGAGCCTGGGGCCTGGAGTCTTGCCCAGGTGGCAAGGCCAGGGTTCTGACGCATGTGGTCTCCACACCACACCCTGAGCGCAGTGCCCACAGACTAGATCCTGGCCCAGAGCTGCTGCCGCACATGTTTCTCTCCCTCTGTATGTCCGTGAGGATGATCCTCCCGAGAGCTAGAGACAGGAGAGCAGGCACTCACGCTGTTCTGTGTGTCGCAGATTATCCAACGTCAGCTGGAGCAGGTGGAGGAGAGACAGCGGCGGCTGGAGGAACGGGGGGTCGCCGTGGAGAAGGCGCTCCGGGGAGAAGCAGGTACGGCCGGGCTCCTTCATAGGGGTCTGCTCCAGGAGGAAAGCCCTCTCTCCCACCGCGCTAGGCTAGTCTCGTTTCACCTCGTCTGGAATTCAGCTCCTTTTCCAACAGGACTCTCGGGGTCCCTTCATCACTGAGGTCTGGGGCTTGCTGTTAAGCGAAAGACAGGAAACGCGCATGTGTCTAGGGCCCCTGGCCTGGAGCTGGTATTCCACAGCCCCTCGTGGCCTGCCATCGCCCTAGAGCGAAACCACAGTCCGCGGCCTGTCGGTGGCGAGGGCTGGGCTCCCCCTCCTCCTCCTTCCCCACCATCACTTTCTTGAGGAGAAAATAACTGGGAGCGAGGGAGTCGGAACCCCAAGGAACCATCACAGAACTGCACCGGGCAGGTCCCCAGCTCTCGGTTCCCTGGACCCCTCTTGAGGACACAGCCCCCTGGGGCCCTCACCGCTGCCCGTAGGGAAGTGTGTGACTGCTCACAGCACACATAGATTTCCCAGGGGACTCAGACTCTGTGTCCACGGAAGGCCGGTCACTCAGGGCAGGGTTGGAGAGACTCGGGGGACGGTGGCGCGTTGGTGTGGAGCAGACAGTGGAAAGTGGCTGGGAGAGCCCTGTGACTAGTCAAGAGTGTCCTGTGGTCACACCCGCCGTCCCACTCAAGGAGCCTGCAGGTCTGGGTCAGCACAGTTGGGTGCAGAGAAAGCAAGGGAGTGATTGAGTCATCTCTGGTCCCAAGGCCCGGGAAGCTTTGCTGGTTCAGGACCTTGAACCCGCTGGACCAGCCACAGGCATGGAGCGACCATGCTCCGTTTGCTCGAGCGTCCACGGGTCTCCGTCCAGTCTCTGGATGGCAAAGCCTCCATCTCTTTATAGAGACCTCAAGGCCTGCAGGCTGAGTGTTTCCATGGTGAGCTGGGTGAAGAAAGGTCGTGGCCTCTTCTCACTTCCTGACTGTGGTGTGGTAGTGGGGAGCGTGCTCGTCTCCTGGCAGGCAGGCTCTCTGGGAAGCCAGGAAGAACTGGGAAGAGGCAGCCAGGAGCTGGGCCAGCTGCTGCCGTCTGATCTTGCTCAAAGACCTCGGCTCTGTGGGACTGAAATTATGTGACAGGGAGTCGGGAGGCGGGCATAGAAGTCAGTCTCCTTTTCCAGGCCCCGTGAGGCCTAGAAATTGCAGCTGATCTGCCGGCTCAGTGATGACCTTTAGGCAAAGAGATGGGACGAGGGAGAAAGATGAGAATGTGGATGTTCTTTGTTTTGTGCCTCACCCGATGTTGGACTCCATGCCTGGCGCCCAGGCCGCCCGAGAAAGTGCAAAAACTTGAACTGCTTAGCATCAGTGAGCCATGAAGACTGGGATGTGTTACGGCCAGGCACGCGCTGGGTTCGTCTGAAAGGATCCCAGGCTTCCCAGTGAACCTGTGGTGTCCCCACTATCCTTTGGGCCTGTCCTGCCCTGCACGCTCTGCCTTGGCCTCTCTGTTAAGCCTGAACCCTGGAGAGACTTGGCCCCAACCCGCCAGAGATGGCCTGTGCCTGACTGCATCTGGCCCACAGGGCCGCACCCTGGTGGCTTTGCTCTTCCTGCAGAAGATACCAGGAGGGAGCCTTTCCTTCTTATCCTCTACAAATGACTTCTGCCAAGACAAGACGAAAAGTGATGAATATATCTCTCAGCTCATGGGCAGAGTAACTCAATGGGCATATGCATCAACATTTCATAGTTAAAGTCTTCCAGGAAGAGCCTTACTCACACAAGACTCTGAGGTTCAGATGAATCTCCTGGGGGTTGGTGGCTTCCATAAAGCACTCAGCACACATTGGCCACCACGCAGTTTGAGTCTAAAACAATACTTCAGTACTTTTTTTTTTTTTTTTTTGAGTTGGAGTCTCACTCTGTTGCCCAGGCTGGAGTGAGTGGCACGCTCACGGCCAACCTAGCATCGACCTGCTGGGCTCAGGTGATCCTTCTGCCTCAGCCTTTCAAGTAGCCGAAACTACAGGCACGTGCTACCATGCCCAGCTAATTTTTATTTATTGTAGCGACAAGGTCTTGCCAGTTTGCCGGGCTGGTCTCAAACCTGCAGGCTCAAACCATCCACTCGCCTCTGTGTCCCAAAATGCTGGGATTACAGGCTGAGCCACAGAACCCAGCCAGCTTCAGTGCTTTTATAGCAGGCCAAATTATTCAAGCTTTTCTCAGAGGACCAAAAAACAATATGGCATTGAAGATTGGCATAGGACTTTGCCAAAATTCTTCCTTCTAGCTGTTTAGATGAGTACATGTTCATCAACATGTACAACCTGAATTTCATCTAAGTCAGTGGTTTTCAAACTTGTTTTTTAGCAGTAGAACCCTTTTTACAAGACTTTAAGTTCAAGTTTAAAGTTTTAAAAAATTAAAGTGTTAATAAGCACAAATGTGAAAATACGGGTTCTATGGAGAACTGTAGATATTAGTAAGACTCAGCACCCAGTTTATTCCTAGGTACAGTGTTGAGAACATTCTCATTGAGAATGCACGGGCATTGTAGTTCCTGTACACGGTAATAGGTTTTTTCAACAGCTCACTGTGAAAGCTCAGGATATCTTAAAAATAGGACAGTAGCTTTTTTTCACAGTTGAATTGTAACAAATCTAACAGCAGCTTATATTCCTTACAAAGGACAAATCTCTGACAAGAAGCTCCCAGACAAAGAGTAAACAACCAACTACACTGTGATAGCATGATGTGCGTTACCCACCCAGAGGACCACGCTGGCAGTGTGCTCTGAGAGGCTGGTGTCCCTGAACCTGGAGTCCCGGGTCTCCTGGATGTTCCCAAACAGGCACACAAGCACTGTACTTGCAGGCCAGAATTTAAATAAATAAGGCTTCCTCTTCACCAACGATTTACAGGGAGCTGAGATACCTTCCCACAGAGAGCAGAAGAAACTTGGTCCCGAGGACCCACAAAACCAAGTTTACGTGGCAGTGTTGGTGGTCTTCGGTGGGTTAAAAGTTGGCGCATAGACATTTGAAGGTGGTGTGTCTTATTTAAGTCATCTAGAAGAGTTAAAAGTATTTACACATCAGGTCTTTGGGAGGCTCCTAGAATGCCTTTCGAAGAACCTTAAAGTTCCACAGAAGTTTGAAAACCACTGTTGTAGTCCTTCCCTTAGGCAAATCTTCACCAAAATATCCCTGTCTGCGGACATTTCTGTTCTGTTTTTCAAGATGGGCCTTCGTGGTTCTGTTGGGATATTTCCCCATGATGCAGGATATAGTGACTCTGACTCTAAGAATAGATCTCCGAATATATTCTTTCCCTTCTCTTCTATGGCTCCATCACGTCCAGGGCTGGTCTCGCGTGACTTCCCAGTAGCCCTGACCCTGTGGCATACCGACTTGGAAGCTCCAGTGTGCACGTGGGCGGCCCTTTTCTCTCCTGCTTCTGGTTCCCTTCCCCTCCTAGCCTCGTTGCACCTGGCTGAGGCCTGAAGAAGGCCGCCTCAGCTGAGCACGATACTCGGGAGTCTTCTAGCCACTGCAGTCACCCGTCCTAAGGGCTGTAGAAAATGGCCGAACGCTGCCACTCTGTCTTGCTTGGTGGTCTCAAGCTTCCATCACTGCATGTGGGCATCAGACTGTGTTAGCCACGCTGCTCTTCCAGAGAAATGATCCGGCATAGCCTTGCCATCCGCTCTCAGTTGGTCTAAGGTATTGTGTGTGTCCAGGCCGCAAGGATTGGCTTCAGGGCCTTTGAGCCTAGGGCGAGGCCAAGACTTATGTAATTTCAGACCCTGGGGCACCAGGGAAGAATTTTTGTTTTTGGAACCATGTTTCAAACTTAAAACCACTGGATCAGCCTTGGGCATGAATTGAAAAGCCATGACAGGACTGTGTTCTCCTGTCTGACGTGTCCTTTCTTGAAGGACTCTCAGGTGGAACAAAAGGCGGTGGAGGGGGTCAGCATTCAGTTGGGGAGGTTTGGAAAAAGGGTGACACTAGCCGTGAAGGTGTTGAGCTTTGCGGATCTAGGACTCTGGGGAGATGAGGACTTAACTGGAAAGAACCTAACATCCTTGGGGGGGCACCGCAGGGTGACCGGGCTGGGCCTGCTTGTGGCCAGCAGACCTCCAGGAGTCCTCAGGCAGGTGGTGGTCCCCGGGGAAGACCTCTGAAGGCCCAGCTCATTTCCTGTTTTGAAGGAGAAGGCCGACTAAAGTTGGGGCTTAAACCTCAGAAGAAACAACCTCCTTCGTCTCAAACCCATTCAGCAAAATCAGCTCTGCAAGGAGGTGGATATTGTCACGAGTGGGGTGACGTGACTTCTCGGGAGGACTCTGGCTACGGTTAAGCCTAAGCCTTGGTGTCCCCGCAGGACCCCAGTCAGATGTTTACATTCTGCCTCCAGCTCCTGCGTCTGGGGCTTCTAATACTCAGTAGCTAAGAAAGTTGCCCTGATCTGCCCTTGAACTTTGTTAAATCTTCTTAGAGATGGTTGAGTCCCAGGCGGGTCAGAGTTCCCAGCAGAGCTTTCTGTCCTAATTGATCTACAGTATATAAACAGGAACCAGGTTGATATTGGCTATGGACTCCTCCTGCAGCGGGTTTTAGGAAACCCTCCCTCCCACCCCCACGAGGTACACAGACACGGCATGCATGGACACGCAGTGTGTAATGCACTATGAGATGCATGCTTTCCAGCTGTCCCTCTCTACCTTCTTGCTGTATCTGTGTATTTCTTATGCTTCATGTCATTGATTGCTTTGGGTATGGGGGGACAGGAGGGGTTATCTCATCGAATAACTCTGTCTTCACCGATTCCTTGTTGTAGACTATTGGGGAGAGTCTTATTACAGTGACCTCATCGACTTGCATCTGGGTGGTATGTATGGCAGCACTTGTCGCTGACACTAACCCCGCTGACACCCTTTCCCCACCCGCTGTCTCCCGGCCCCTGCTCACAAAAACAAGAAGTCAACCTGATAACCAAATGGCAAAAGCACAGACCTTTT